AATAATTTGCCGGTACTACTCAGCAGTCAAGTTGGAGCACAGAAATTCGTCGTGCATTTTAGACTGAACGCAGAACTCCAAGCCATGGGTCAGCTTGCTGTTAGAGCTCAACCTGTTACCTCATTTTCACCAGGATATCCTGGTTTTTCTCAAGTATGGAAGCTGTTTGGCGCAGACGCTTTTCGGAATAGTAGCACATGTTGTGAATAGGTCATCCTAACCACCCTGTCACTCAGTTTGTTTCTGGGTCGTCTGCTTACTAGAATACGTAGTTCCGATGAATTGCTAGAGTAGTTGGTGCCGTGTACATTAACTTTCCAGATGACTTCTAGTTTACTCACATAAAGACGGGGAAGTCGAATACATCTGGTGTCTGCCGCATCACATGGCATGCACCACATGTGTCGGCTTGGTATAGGAGAACCTTTAGATCTCTGCCATTTTTATGTTATCATCAGGAAAAGTAAGCAATCGGCTTTATGCAAATGCACTTGTCAGGCAAGTGTAACTATACACCAACTGCATTACTGTTGCACAATGTCGCAGCCAAAGTGCACAAGTAATTTGCAGCAATATAGTCAGTCTTTTTTATATTTAAAAAATAAACCAGGAGGCCAGATGGATCAACAGATATCCTCATAAACTAAAGAGTGCTAGTTTGGTGTCTGCCACGTCGTGTGTTATGAGACGTCTCTTACGTGAGCAATGACATCTAGGCGTCTTTAGGTCTTTGAAATCCGCTGTCCCAAAACCATCGCTGAAGTAGTGTAGTGACGGTATTTTCCTCAGCTTAGTTCTCGGTCTGAGCCTCCCAAGCTAGCGTTCACGTCAAAACAACCAACAAAGGTGCACAAGGTCTATTAACGCCCAAAACGAAATCAAGAACAGTTGTACAGAACTTCGTATATATAGCGTAAGCGGTTATAAATTTCTGGAATTTCTGACGCGTTCTGGATGCGCCATTGGCAACCGGCATTTGGCCAATACTGGGTCATGATTGGCTGTTGGGCCCAGGTTGTTGACCAATCAGATCTCGTCTTGATGCCGGACCGGCAAGCGTCCCGAATTCTGGGCCAACCTCGAGCGGGCCAGGCTTCTCGGCCGTAGCAACGCATAAAGACGTGCGGTACAGTGGGATCCGCGTGGATTCCTGCCTCAGAAATAGACTAGTGCCAACAAATTACTCTTGTCCACTCTTACAAATCCGATCGATTTGCTTTCTCAAACAAGGCACAAAACGCCACGTTCGGTGACGTTGATATTTTGTACAACCAAACCGAAATAATGCCAAGGGAACAGATTCGAACTTATTTCTTTCTATATGGCGCCGCATTTGCATGTTAGCTGTAACAAGCAGTGCGAAGTTTCAGAAGATTTCGGTCAGCAATATATGGATTCATTGATAGACAAATTTTCGATTTACCACTAATACTTCATCAGGCCAGCTGAGACGAATTTCGCTCCACTCAACCATAACACTCAGCTGAAATCGAAATTGGAACAAAAATAAATTCGGTCGTGTTGTTTGAGGACTCGGTGGCAGCGGAAGAGACCAACCAGTGAAACCTGGCCACAAACCCGTGAGACGATCTGGACGGTTTTACTTTCTTTACTTCGTACTTTTTGACGTGCTTCCCGTAGCCAGTGAGAGCATTAAGCCACTCGTAACACATTAAAAATGACGACACATATGCGTCGTTTCACTCGTCTTGTCTAATATTCATCTCATGAAGGAGCTTCAGCCTACGAAAAGCTGTTGAACTTCTCGTGATGGATTGGTTTTTAGATAAAATTCTTCTCAACTTGGATCTGCAGTCATGTTTCACCCTTGAGGTACATATCTCGGCGAATAACTAATACAAACTTTTTTGGGACTTGTGACAGACCAGTCAGGTTGTCTTGGTCAAAAATTTCCAACGTGGATTCCCATTTGAAACTGCGGTGATAAATAGTGTTACACGAAGTTTATCACCCTCACAGTTCAAAAAATACAAATATTTTGGGTCTAAAACTGATGGATGTTGCAAACCTTCTTTCGTTTCACTTCTGGCAATCAACTATGAATTACGTGCCCTCAGTAGTGCCTCTGAAGATCTGGATTTGAAGTCTTCATGATACGACGTGGGACTCTTGGAATAAATGCAGTGCCATGTGATTCTGTTTCCGATTAGTTCACCGACTGGTTAGATTGCGGGATTATAACTAGCTTGGTATTTGAAATTGTTTCAGTCACTTTACCTCATGGAGCAAAACTGCTTGTTTTATTAGCCCGCAGGTCGGATTGCAAACACCGCTACATTTTGTTTACTGATTTCATACTTTCAAGATTTCCACCATCTCGATCGTTTTTTAGACGTGACCAATTGCTGCTTTGAGTCCACATCTTCATCTCAATACAGTAGGTGGGAGTCTCAGCACTTTCGCTGAACTACTGCAGTTCTTTTTGCGTAAAATTTTGCGCACGGTGACCACTCATTTTTCGATCGAATGGTAAAACAAACCCAAACTTTATCGGAACACAAATGAGTGCCTGCGAATCCCAGTTGATTAAAATCGATTGATCAAACCGTTCGTGACTGTGACTTGTGCCTACTCCAAACGTAATCGTTGAACATCTCTCTCTCTCTAATCCAAGTTATGGTCTACTCTGACTGCAGAGTGTAGAGTAGAGTTGCGTGTTCGGGATATTGACCTTGCTAGACGATGAGCACTACGGTAGCCTAGTGGATGGCATGTTACATCTGCACTTAGACCAACCAGATACCTGTCCCCAAATAATTGCCTTCAAATCGGCTGTCGGTCCTCATCTTGTAACAATATAGGTGTGCCATTCTATTAATGAAAATGTAGTGGATACTTTTTAGATGCACGAAATAGAACTGGCGTACTTGTATACACCATCTTCCAGCATACGAGATGATCGGGTTTTCAGCAGTGGGTCGCAGATCTTTTAGAGTTTTGTATCAAAATCTTATAAACAGCAGAAAAATAAGCAAACGTCCACACTAGTACACCTTTTTTGCACAATAATATGGTCAGTCAAGAAGGCCCAGACAGTTGTATGATGACCGTATGCGAAGATTGGTGCATCACACATGTCAGGGCGTGGACTACGACACAGGTCACATGAGTGACTGCACTACGATCGGTGGTAGTTGTTCCGCTCCTCGACGGACGTGGTCCTATACATTGTGCGCAGACGCACACGTCATGTATAAGCACACATCACAGTACGTGTGTATACACAAAGAAAACCTTCACGCTTCAGTGCACGGTCGGACGTGACATTCTGACAGCCGACATCATCAACTCTCCCGATTCCTTTGTGTCCTTGTCGTCAACAAACTTAAAGTCAACCTATCCGTTTGCAATACTACCTCTACGCGCTACCACTAATACGGTATTCCTGCAACCTAAGCCACTCTTGTCATGGAGCAAACGAAGTGTTCTCTTGCTCTACATCTTGACAAGCATACACACCATATTCCAAAATGATACCTTTTTGCCCGCTGTCATCTGAATTGAGTGAGAGCAAAAATACTGAGCACTGAGTGAAAATCACAAGTAGGAGAACAAAAAAGCTGATAAAAGCCATTCTATCGAGAACAAACAAGAACTAGACTGTTTGTCTCAATAGGTCGAACCATCTGTCAGTTGGCGGTAGTCGGTGAAGCGGTAAGTCGGTCTACCGACCTGTCATTATTGGGATAGAAAAATCGATAATTATCTTGGCGAAACCCGTTAGTTATGGAAATTCAGTGTGATCAGTGATAGCCAACACGTGCTCTGTCGTGTCGGAGTGGATAACACCTATGTTATGAAGTCGGCGTGCTCGAAATGATATATCTCACAAAATGATGGACATGCTTACAAATTGATCCAACTAATTACTTAGTCCAGTATTCTGCTATTCCGGAAGCTTGTTAACGTCGCAAAACCATGTCCTGAACGTAAATCTGGGACAATTTAACCACCCAGCCCTCCAGAGAAGAAGTATGGCGCACGTAAATTTCCAATACTGAATTCGATGTATCGTTCGCCGAAAAATGGGAATATGCACGAATCTTTTGGCATCTGATTATGATTTGATCCCAGCAGTTCTCCATTAGAATTAGAATTTAGGCTGACTGCATAAAATATGCGGCGAATTTCTAATAGGCAGACGTAATAATGCTGTTTTAGTGAAAGCACACATCCTCAGTCAACGGAATCAACCTTGCGTGTGACTGAACTGATAAATGGAATAAAGTTCTAATTTATAGGAACCATTTTACTGACAGAAAGGTGTGGGCAAAATAAAGTGGGGTTCCAGAAGAGATCAGAAGTGCACCAAACTGTCACGTGCCAATCCTTCTGCCACCTGGTGAGTCCCAGCAAGGATATAAGCACCCGGATGTCTGAACACCTGCACTGAGGATAAAAGCCTAAAAAGGACAAACAAGCTTAAACGAAGTGGTTTTCTCCCAGGCACACGTGGGGCCCAGTGATCTGCAATCCTTCGCGACTGCAAGTTTTCGAAATATTCTAGCTGACCGAATGAAATTTAGTGGTTAATTTGACGGGGGCGTCAGCTGCTACCTTGCATTCATATCACTTAGATTTAAACAGTTCCAATCCTGTCCAGGATCGGTGATTTCGTTTAGTCCACACCAGAAGTAAGAAAAATGGTAATCAGACATTTTGTTGTTATTAAATCTCATCATCACCGTTTTGGGATTTGAACCCCAAACATCTGATATGGAAGCTGTAGCGTCGTTCAGATATGCACTTTTTACGGTATAGCTATACTTAGTATCGTAAACGTAAAGAATAGGTGAACTCTTGTCCCACAATGAGAGAGAAATTAGCCAACACATACCGCCTCATCGCTTATTATGTCATAAATGCTACCCATCTTCCTTAGTTATATATATAGCAGTGATATTGAGGCCGTTTAGAAGGAATACTTTTCCCGAGCTACAATGATACACATACTAACGCAAGACCAAATAAATCTACCTGAACATCTCATCTGTGATATTATTTTCAGTCGAAAATGCTGCACGAAGGCCATCTCGTGTTTCCGTCGGTACAATATTCGAGATTTGGTAGTATATTGTACAGCGTTCAGCTGTAGCACACTTCCGGTGCCTAGCTGCCATGCCACCCGAAGGAAGCACGAGGGCTGGGATACTGCCAGGTTGCCCAAGCCTAGACAGGGGAAGTCGAGTGGCGGGGGTCGGATTCGCGCTCTAACCACTTGGGCCATCTCGCCCAAGTACAGAGGGAATACATTACTCATAGGGTTGGAGACACCTCTTCGAAGAGTACTGAACAGCCTTATGGATCGTGTGTTCCGTTCAGAAAATCAATTTTCCTCGCCTAAACTCATTGGTCATTTTATCGGTTTGCGATCGCACACTTACGCATGTTTGTTCAACCGTTAAAGACCAGATCCTGAAACCAGATGCACTGGCTTCAGAAGTATCTCAAAAAGAAGCCAATTTCTAATACGAGCGTCTGGTATATCCGTCAAAAGTGTGCCCTAATGCTGGGCTCCAGTGGTGTTCTCAGTAAATCGCGTGTAAGCTGTCTTTCGTACTGCACAGCCACTTGGCAGCATTGTCGGTTGCCCCTTTAGGCAATAATATGACACGGTGTGCAAATACAATACACACCTGATCCCTTGCAGAAAGGAAAACTAAAACTTGCATGATAGGCCCCAATAGTGCTTTTGGATCTCGTCACTGGTTAAAATCTCCCAGTATTCTCCGAACGTACTACTAGCTGGGATCCTCTAGCCAACGAACTTTCTTTGGAGGTAAAGCGTTGCAAACGTAAACACGGGACTGAACAGAGAGCCATGTTGAAGATCCCAGGTTTTATGCATAAGTAAATACTATTTATTCAGCTGCGTATCTACAGCTGTCACTGTAACGTTCGGCGGTTTCACTGTAAACATAGAATTGAAGGCAATTACCTGGTTAATCTCAACAAATCCAAGTTGATTGGCCAAGTTAATACCTGGACACAGATTATCTAATGCTTGGCTTCCATAAAATTGCGGTCCACGTGTTTCGGAGGGAACTGCCGTGCGTAGGAGTTCTTCCAAATATCAGTCAAGATGGAGTTATTGCCATCCAATTCCAGTTCGCCTCAATAAATTCTAGAAGATCCGTTTAATACTCGCTCAGAAAATCACTCAATCGGATGGTCTAAAATTACTAGTGACAATATCCAGGTAGGATATCGAAGTCAGACGTTACCCTTTTGTATACCCTACATAAAACGTAATTCAAAAGATTCAAATTCAATTAACTAAGTGCAAAACAATGTAAATCTGTGCTGATCTCGGGGAGCAACGATTTAACCTTTCCGTGTTACTCTCTAGTGGTACAGTGCCAGTGGAACAGGCGAGTGAAGTTTTGGTCTAAAACGTTGAAGCCACTGTTTGCACATCAGCTGAAGTGGGTTAAAAGCTGGTCAGTCAGCTGAATCTCCAAATGCTGCATGACGCAACGACTCATAACTGGACCATAACTATGGGCACGAACACGAGTCCTGAATGCGTATAAGATATCCTGCGTTGTTCTATTCTCATTCTGGATCTCACTAAGTTATGGGAACGATTCGCAAACTATCCCTCCCTACAAGCAAAATAATATTTAATAAAACGACACAACCGGCCTAAGTTTGCATTCACGTTAGCTGTGAAAAGATATTTCTAAATAATCTGCTGCCGACCAACAGAACCTCATTTATCTCTGACAGTAGTTAGTACAGATTCTAGGTAATTTATCAAACTGGTGCGACTCGTCTTTGATGTACATACGTAAAGCCATCGGTTAAATATTCTGTATCCAACAGGCAGGTTTGGGAAAATTCCTTTCCCGGATCGAGATGAAAAACTGTGTCCGAGCATTGGATCCCAATATCTGACCTTACAGAGGTCTTACATATCCCTACAGTATGGAAAGACTGTATACAGCTTTTTCGTATTGCCCGGACAAGACCGATTTCACTATGAGTCAGTAAAGTAACCTATGCATCTTTCAACATGAATCTTGATACCGGCAGGGAACAGAAAAAGCTCGAACCAAAAAAGTTAACCATGGCGGATGTCATAATCGAAGTGTCTTCGGAATCACATGCCTGTTATATGCTGGTGAAATTCGCTAATATTAGTATCTCACTTTGTATGTTAATATTGTTATCAGTAGTAATCATAATAACACAATAGCAATGACAATAACAATAATAGTAGTAACAGCGAAGCAATACAAGCCATATCATTACCATCCAAACCTGCTCACAAGCAGCCATTATCAGAAGCGATTCTTTGAAAGATAATGCGCTATTCCATCTAAGCGTCCCATATTTTATCGTTGAAGATTCAATTGTATTGCTAACAAACTGAGAAAACTCTAGAAAATTGTCCTATAAAATTACAGTTTAAGCCCCCCATTTGCAAATCACTTTTCATAGTGATTTGGTATGATACCTAATAACTGTAAACCAGTTAAATACTCGTATAATTTTTGGTGACGGTTTTTTGGCATGTAATGGGTAAATTTCGCACTTTCAATTCGACATGGGCGTGAATCTGGAGGAGCTATTCAAACATTCTGGTTGGTGTCGTAAGCTATTCTCTCCTCACATCAGCACGGTATCTAACCTACTTTCTAGCACACTGTTCAAGGACCATGGAATTATTTGTTTTAATGACAAACTATGCCAGAAGCAGGCAAGTCTCCTTTGACTGAACATATGCAACCGTAAAAATGAAGGCCGGAAGCGCGGATAAGGGCACAATAGCTCCAAGTAAAGTGGGCTACACAGTCCACAATTTGCAGTCTACTTGGTCCCTCTTTTCAACTTTAGTCATATGTTCGTAATTCTTAAAAATGTAAGTGAAAAGGATATGAAGGAGATTTCGCTGCTAGACTGACGGGATATTTGCTACGTGAAGTTAAAAACAGTATAAATTTCTTGAGGTGAATTCGAAACATTGCACATCTGTTTTCTGTTGTAAATTGATGGATATGCATTCTTTAGTTTTGGCCATGCCGCTTTCTCCGTCTTGTACCATCGGGAAATCTGTTTGACATTAGTATCCTTGCACCAAGTTTACACGGAGTTCGTAGAACTAGTAAAAAACCGCGTGGATATTTCATTCGAGGTGTACGGGTGTCCCAAGCGGGTGGTTTTCCTTATGCTTGTATGAATTTCTTTCGCCGTAACCAAGTCGTTATTCAAGTGACTTCCAAATGCTTTATTTATGTTCCTAATTAACCGACACCTTTGCTAAATCTACTACTTACCGATTTTCGAAAATAACTGAACATATGACTAACCGCATGCAGTATCATCTCGTTCGTTTGGTTTTGTTAGTACCCGAGCCGGTGATTCAAGCTAGAGAACAGCTGTGTTGAAATGCCAAAGATCTCGATCAGTATACTTGATATATCTATATTTCCACAACAATTCAAACCTACGGGATTACGTTATTAATCTTTTATTAGTCTAAGACACCGGGGATATTGCAACATGGCAAGCCAACAAGGCATAAAAAAAGACACGAAATATCCACTGGAGGAGTGTCAACAGCCTGTTCTAAAGCGCCAGTGAATCCGGTTATTATGTTTGTATGCATCACATATTCATTCGTTATGGAGCGGTTGTCGGACACCATTATTGTCTACAGGTGGCTTGTTAATCGTCTTTTCGCAACAGTCCATTATACACCAACTTAACATTTGAATAATGTTAGCGAATATACACTCATTTGGAAAATACTGGAACCCAGCTGAATCTCTCGTTTGTGATGTTCTCAGGCAGGCCGCCTCATGTTTCAATCGCTACGAGATATCGCGATACATGTATACCTTTGTAATGTACTACTCATAAGTTTGCTGAAAATCCGTCGACCGATTTTCAGCAACCTTATGAGTAGTAGTACATTCCAAAGATATTTGAATGTTTTTTTAATCAATTATCAAAGTAAACGGTCGTCGAAAAAATAACTGTTTGTACAATCATGCAACCGGCAACATTGTGTCACAGATATGCTGTTTTCAGAGAAACTTTACTCACGAACTTTTTGGAACTCTTTCCNGGCGAATATCTACCTGCTTTTTGTTTAACTGCAGAAGACATTGGCTCCTATTTTCAGTCTTTTGAACGTAAGAGATGCTTGAGGTTTTTATAAGACACATTGAAAAAAAAATGCCGGCAAAATCCACGAGGAATTGCAGGTTTCTCTGTGTGTAAAACTGAAGATGCTTCAGTTTTTAGTAAAGTTTGCCCAACGCATACAAGTCTCTGTTACCCGTATTTTTTCATACCTGTCGAAACATCTAACCCTGACATTAAGTCATATTTAGCTGCCTGGCGTGACGCAAACATCAGTGTATTTTCGTGTCAAGGATTCAAAGTATAAAACTTTTGGGTATCTGAGCATGAAACAGAGCTAGATACGTTGTCATTCACAACATTCTCCCGTTTGCTAGGCCATGAGATCCAGTCACATTAATGTTTACACATTGATGTGGAATAACTTGCCCATCATTAGGCTATTCCTGAAACCGAACCTCTGTGTGCGATGAAAAATCCCATCTTTTTAGTTTTTCTCGCTCTAGACTCATCTGTGCCGGTGCATAAATGAATAAAATTAGTTAGAGGGGATATATAAGAGTGCGCACTGAAGATGCCTCCTCAAATGGTGAACAACAGTTTGCAAATCAATTGCCAAGCTCGGCGAACGGATCAACAGCCACCTTTACTATATTCGTTTTTATGGGGTGCTCTATTGGTTTGACAGCCATCCCACTTGCCGTTTTTCAAAACATAAAATGTACTTTGGGTTTTGCTACCAGCTAAGCTATACCCAAGGCTGTGAATATCATTGTTGATTTGGACTGATGCCTCATGTGGTTTGTATTTTCGCGATTTAGTTGTGCAGGTCGCCAGAGTTTCCAATTAACTCAAATTTGTGTGCAACACAAACGTGTCAGTGATTGATTCTGTAATGCGGCCGTCGCATGCTTAATCTACACTATTCGATTATTTTGAACATTATTATTCTGGGCGCTAATCTGCTCGGTGATGGGTTGGCCAGGTGTTGAATTCTCCACTTATGAGTTTAGTTGTCACCTAATTATCTTATGCTGGAATAATCTGACGTCAAATTAGCCGAATGGCAGTTCGTTTGCGGCAAGTTGCTGAGTACTTGTCGAAATTTTATCATCTTATTAGCTCGGTATGCTGACTAGGTTTCGATCACAAGGTTAATGGAACAGCAGATTCCATCTAGAAATCCTATTTTTGCCGGTCGGACAATGCAGTTTTTTGCAGTTTCTTGCCTGATACGAAGGTATATACATTGTAGTTTACTTGCACAAGTTAACTGGTTACAAACAAAGAAGAAGCTTACGAAGACTGCGGTGACTTTGCCATTCTTCTCTGAGTTTAGGAAACAACTGTTGGTATATTTTATAGACTGCTTTAAGAAGAGCACTCTTAATGATCCGTGATTCGCTTGCTTTTAAAAACATGGCCAGAACACTTCGCCATGTGGGCCACATGGGCTTAAAGAGGCGCGCTCGAATGTCTAATCCATTTCAAAAAGCCATTCTCGGTAATAGTTTTACAATGAATTTCGTAGGCAGAATTCTTTGCTATATCGCCCTAAAACATACCAAATCCAACTGGTCACACACCAGTCAAGAGTAAAGTTGTCTTGTGTAAAAAGCAACCGGTACCAGAATCGTGCACATGCATAACCCGGCTGTCAGCAGCAGTACTCCACACACCATCCATCTTCCTACTTGAAAATGAAAACAGACTGCAGCGACCTCCTACACGTGTTTTGTTACAGGCCTGTGTTGGGGCTGTCACAATGTCATCCTGTTACATCCCTACCCTCCCAAGTAAACGCATGTCCAACTTCCTAGTTGATCCCTTTTAGTTGCACATGCTGGTGTGCGCATGCACGTACATCAGCCTGAGGTCCGCACCTATTGTGCCTGACATGAGCCTAGAAACGCCCTTGTCATTTTGATTTGGCATATTTTGCTCTCTAGACCTATTGCGAATAGTGGGAACTTATCGTTGGGCCTGGGAATAAACGCATGTGTGCATTTGTGCGTGCACATGCTTGAAGTGATTCGCGACTTGGCTGGCATATGCTGACTACCAGCTGGAACGCCAAATGATAAAGACCGGAAATTTTTGAGTGTAGCTTGATGCATTCAGCGGGTGCACAATTTCCAGTAAACTAGTTTCGTTGGAAACTTCACTCGGTAAACTACAGATTGAATCGTCTATAGTTAACTATTGCTCAGAAAAATATCATCATACATCGCTTGATAAAGCTTTCGCAATGAGGTTAATCAAAGTGATTATCGCTTATTGAGAGTCTTCTTTTGAATGATTTAAGGGGTGAGTCGACATTATTTCTGTAGCAGCAAGTGTAACCGCAAGGCGATGGTAGAATTTTTCAAATTGCATTTGGTGAGTTGTTGGAAAAACATTTGTATGCACCATTCAGCTCAGGTTACTGGAATTATTGAAGGAGAGAAGCAACATATTGTTTAGCCACTTTTTGAACCAAGCTGCACCGTTTGTGTTAGCTACGAATCGTCCTTCAAATGTCGACGACCATGTTACATCTTCCGCTTTGAGGCAACCGTCGAAGATTGGGGATTTCAGAATAACGGTTCGACACCACCCGGTCCCTCTGCAGACAAACAAATTTTTCACTATGCTCATAAAAACGCGTAGACGTACTGAAGGTTGAACTATGCGTACTAAATCGTCTTCTCTGTACAATCGTAGCCAGATAGTTCATTGCTTGCTTATTTAAGGTTCGCGGTATGCAGAAGCGCATTATCTGATTATCAGCTCCCACGAGAGAGAACATCAAACACGTCTTGATTAACCAAAAGTCTGCCCCTCTCCCAAGCCATCGGACCAGGCAAGTGAACTCTAACTTGTGAAAGGCGACAACCATCTGCCTCAGAATGCTGCTACTGCTTCAAACTTAATGGCAAAAACTAATGATCGATTAAATCAAGGCTGTATGAGGTTCTGTTACGAATCAGGTGACATATTTGCTCTGTGAATACTCATGTGCGCGCACACTTTTTTCTCATAAATTCATCCACCAACTGACAGCATTTTGTAGCTTGACAACTATGGTGTGAGTTGTAACGTCAGAATACGCTGGTTCTCTATGTGTTCCCGGTTATCTGCGAACACAACTTTGAGCAATCGTGTGACATCCGAGATCCTTATTTAGGGAGATCTCATTTCGTTGCCAGCGGTTTGAGATAGTCATGAAAGGAATCAAGGTCTGGATGGCCAAATCACTAGACTTACGCTTGATTAACGAATGAATGCAAGACTTAAAAAAGGATTACAGAGAACAACTGTCTTTGTTGCAATAGTCAGTGTATATGTAGCCATTTAAATGAGGTTTAATTTGGTCAACTAGCATCACTTCTAGCTTTCCACTGGTAGATCTTCCTGATCTCTCCAGCTGACTCTAGCACGAGGATTCGCTCAAGATTTTATTTCAACCTTTCACGTATTTTTACATTTTATCGTGTGCTTACCGAACCAACCGCTGCAGCATTAGTCCTGTACGGAACTACGGACTATTAATCCATACCTAGATTGTGATCATCCCTTAGGAATATGCAACTGAAAATTGAGCACGTAGTACTTTCTATTACACTGCGAGGATAGAAATGGAAACATGCATTTTGAATGTATTGGAGATCGTTTGTTCAGGCACGCATAAGTTTTTCCATATCTTCACAATGCTCAGGGGCGGGATGACCAATGGGTTCAAGCGCGAATTTACTGACCGGAGGGTCCACAGTTCGAACCCGACCTCTGGCTCTCGATTACCCCTGTCTAGGCTTGGGCATCCTGGCAGTATCCCAGTCCCCGTGCAACCTTCGGGTGGCATGGCGGTTAGGAACAAATGGGTGCAACAGCTGAACGATCACAATACTCGGAAGGACAGAGCTTCCAAATTTTTTCCAAAAGTACCTTGACAGCTTGGTAAATGCAGAACTACTCAAAGGACAATAATCCCTCTAGTTTTTTTCCTTAAAAACTTCCACTAACGTTGCTCGAAGCTCCAACCAAACATTCTGCACCTGCCATTATTTTCACTAAGAGGAGCCCCAAACTGTATCACTTCATGTGAAGGCATTTTCTAAACAAACCAACAATAATGAACGGTTTTGGAGTTTTTTAGTACAACTTATATGCGCATAAAAAGTACTTTTGCCTTGAAAAAACATCCCTTTATTGAGGTTGCTTCGGGTAGACCTTGTCGATCTCATACAGTGACCCTCACAGAATCAGTATCTGCTTGTTTTTTTTTCAGAAAAATAATCGCTTAAATTTGCTGTTCACAATTTTCACATCAAGACCATTGGAAGGCCCAGTTTCTATGCTCAGTTCAACATTAGGATCCCAAATCCACTGAAGTACCTAGCGACCATTTTCAACCTTATGAGGGCGTAATGAAAAACAGTTAATCTTAAACAGTTCTAAGAGTGCTGACACAGTGCTTCCTTAATTTAAGGGAAACGAAAATTTTCCAATGCATTGCGGCAGAGTACCAACACACGTATATAAGCCACACAATTCACATTGTATGCCTAGTTGCATCTCCGAGCATCCGTGCTGACCAAAGACTAGTCGTGCATGGAGAAGTTGATGATACTAGTAAACATAACCTTTCTAAGTCCAGTTTAGTAGCTAGAAAAATGTTGGCCTCGTAGACTGGGTTGCATGCTTATAAGTATCGGGCATATTTAGTGCTGCTTTCCTACAAATATCTTGTGAAGCTACACCAAGAAATTTACGTAAGTCTATTCTAGATACTTCACTAAATTGTGTAACTGAGTGAGACAGCGCGAGGCATTTTCTTGGGTCAAGTCCCATTGGGAAATAGAAAAGATCCAGTTTAAAGTTTGGTTTTCTATACTGAATGACAACCAGTGGTGCGAAAATTACTCCACCAACCAATTGAATTCGTTTCATTCGGTGATACAATTTAGGACTCCACGGCATCTCATGTGCACGCATTAGCACTGAGAACTGATGATTGTCAGATTAAGTCGAACGTTGTAGAAGTTTGACTGAGCAGCACTAAAAACCTCCCGAGATAACACGATTTTCTCTTTACATTTCCATCTTTTTAGTTGTATTATAAAGATTTAAACGTGAACTCGGGACTATTTAAATGTCAATGTTGCATTTATGCTAATCGAAGGGTGGTTTCGTGGATACTTTCTTGATTGGCTGAGGGACTTTTGTGCACAAATTCTGGTCTACTTTGATGCATCTCCCTGAGAACGCAAAAGCAACATTAGAAGCCATAATGAGGACGATATGTCCTTTGATGGAACTCCCAACTTCTTCCCTCTCTTGCCGAACGAGTGCCATACCTCTTCAAGATTATACAAACCCCCGTCTCTTTGACATCTAACTGGTTATTGAAAGCGCAATTTTTAAAAGTTCAGTGAAGCGCGCACATATTTGATTGATCAAATTATGTGCTCTGGAATCTAGAACTATCTGCCGGACAAAAATTACGGTTATCCAGGAAAATGTCTTTTTGGTACATTAGTTTTGTACAGCGCATCGCTGCATTTGCTTAATTGGTTCGGTCAAAAGTGCTCCTCTAATTGCATATCTGAGACATTTAGAATGTGTTCGAGGACGAGTAAGAAGATAGTCCGAGTTATCGAGACGTTTTATTTGTCTGAGAACAGGCGTTGCTGAGCGGAAATATTCATTGTTCAGCTGAACCACCCTTTAGGTGCATGCTACCTTCCAAGGCGGCACGAGGGCTGGAATACTGCCAGTTTGCGCTAGCCTGAACAGGATAAGTCGAGAGGCAGAGGTCGGGTTCGAACCACGGACCTTCCGGTCAGTAAATTCGCGCCCCAACCACTTGAGCCATCTTGCCCAGGAAATATACCTATGAAGGTTTAACACGAGTATGTAGAATAGGTATAATGATAAGCACACAAAAATCATGACAGACTGGACCCGGTACGTACGGACAATGGTGTACGATTGCTTCGACCGTGTGCTGATCGTAGGCTGTTTTTATGCAGTACTAACGTCCGAAATAGCCTTGGTTGTCTGTCTACATGGTGTCCTCCGACGACATGCAGACAAAAACCATGACAATATCTTACAGGATAGCCAGACTTTTCCAGGTCCTGATATTTTAAACACTGAATTTTTTTTACCACAAACGCCCTACCTTTGTAAATCGTCTACTGGTGATGAAATGCGCTGGTACGAATACGTGTGTTAACCCACTGAATAGAATATTTGGGTTCCGGACTGCAGCTCAGTAGACCAAAACTGTTAGCCGTAAAAGTTAGATCAGGTAGCGGACCGCGAATTTGCAAATTTTTTTCGTTATTGAGAATGGGCTGTTGGCAGCGTTTATGCAGTAAACTTCCTGTATGAAGATATGTTGGCACTGTCAATTTATTTTGCTTGCCATGGTTGCTCCTTCATAAGACGCCCTACTTGCGGTGTTATTTGAATTTTTTCAAATCCCACAAAACATTCTCGTTATGATTGGCCACAGCTTTTTAATTTAAGAGAAGGGCTGTTCAATTCAGATTGACGATTGTAAAGCGAGTGTGCCCCAGTTGTTTGATCTATTTAAATGCAAGATCCAGCGTTTGAAAAAAATCCTCGAATAATATTCTACTCAGTCTATAGGACGGAACTTATTTCGCCAAATACAGGCAGAAAGTAGTGTTGGTTTTTGTGCGATGGGTTTTTGGGTTCACCCTTAACAGAAGGGAAATATATGGACCACAGGCTTTTGATCGAGAATCTACACGCTCATTTGACAGTAGAAATTTTCTGGGAAAAATCCTAAACCCTTGATAGGAGGGACTTATACAGACCATAAGTTTTTAACAAGAATGTCCACGCCCATTTGACTTGGGATAAGTCTCGCCAAGAAAACTAAATTCGTTCTAGATTATCCTCCACTTATTCAGCTAAGTAGCTGCGAGTAATTTTCATGGCTAAGTTTGAGGACTAGTATGCGGTAGCTACTTGGTCTAACTTTTCCACATATAGTGATCTCTGTATCAGGTGCAGCTATGCCCCTTTCTAGGAGGATTAAATAACCGGGCATTCAGGTTTGGTCAGTATCACTTCCCACAAGACGACCACTATCCGGTTGAGAAGGATGATTATACGTGTCAAAAGGCATCACCAAGCATCTCACGAGAGTACTGTTTTTGTATGGCTTACTGGCTAGAGATAGTACATGGGAAAACTAAGAGATTCTGACCTATCTACAGCAAGGTATTGAACTTCGCTTGTCCTTTCGAGCAGTGTGTTGACCTGACGACATCTGCTGCTTTGTACTCGATTTTCTTTTACTGTTTCTTACGCGTTACGGCTTGACGGAACCATATGACCTGTCGGAGTGAATATCCGCCTTCATTCAACCGATGTATTTGAAACTCAATACAGCTAGTGTGTAGTTACGCCGCTTTTGTCACTCGGTTCGTTTTAGACAATCCATTTACAAATGCCAATCAATAACAACGGAGCACAGTCTGTAGACTTTGATCATCAACGTAAGGTGATCTCTCAAACGTGGTCTGTAGTAGAGGCATGTAGCATTACGTTTAGAAAATAACATTTGACTACACTGTGCTTTCATTGTGTCAGGAGACCGGTGTTTGACTTCTCATAAGTTGCATGTGAGCACTATTACACTCTTGTAGCACCGGATTATTAGGTTAACAAGTTTAGTTGAGCTGAGAATACAGAAAAAACAAGGATAAGCGTCACATACAAATACGGTTAAGCACAAACATGCAAACAGAAACACAGTAAGAAAGAGATAGACATGGATGGGTGGATGGATGGACGGATGGATGGATGGTTAGATAGATAGATAGATAGATAGATAGATAGATAGATAGATAGATAGATAGATAGATAGATAGATAGATAGATAGATAGATAGATAGATAGATAGATAGATAGATAGATAGATTAGATAGATTGATAGATAGATAGATAGATAGATAGAGAGAGAGAGAGAGAGAGAGACAGAGAGAGTGAGTGAGTGAGTGGGTGAGAACAATAGGAGAACAATAGTGGACAGAATATCTGAGTAGTGGTGTGTTATCAGTGCTGTTAGTTTTCATGTTCACTGAAAAATTCAGAACGAAGTCCGCAGGAGCAAAGATGACGATATATATGGACCAAGATTTACCTCTATGACTTCCAATCGAGTAGCCTTAAAAAGTAGTAAGGCAATTTTTTTTAACCAAGTTTTGGTTGCGCTAAATATGAGCGATTCACCAACCCTTGAACGCAATATGTTATATGGTGCGAACTCATTCGACTTACTTACGTACTGTTTACGCAACTACACACTTTTGTCTTCTGACGAAGAAGGGAATTTCACAGTGTGCATGGAAGTCAGCCGCACTGTGAGATTAGAGTGAATCTTGGTTTGTGGCATTCAATTAATAGGTATCATGTGTCTTTGTCGGGATTCTTCATACACCCTTTGACGAACCCAATCTTATCGGGCTTCTCAATGCAGATACAAAGACCAATTCTGTAAGTTGGGAACAGCTATGACAATAAAACATGTCCCGAATTTATTTAAATTGCTTCAAAAATTACCTTTGTTAGGTTGTTAATGAAAACCAAATGTGGATTACCGAACCTAAAGTAAGAAATATCCCCGCGTGGAACATGTGGTCTCGTTAATGCTAACGATACCAGAGCAAAACTCTGAACGGATACGGTGTTCATAGCATTGTGTATGGGCTACATAACTGGAAGGACACGAACAATGGAGCAGTTAAAGTTCTTATAGGGTACTTATTGTTTGGATAACTAGCAAATAATTTGTGTGTCGTTTCTTGCTAGCCCATTACTTAG